GCTAGGAAGGGTATGCCAGACTCATACTAAGGGCTCATGCGCATTCGAGATACGAGCTGAGAGTCGGGTAGGGCATGCCAGACTCGTACTGAGGGCCAGGGAGCAAGCCAAACATAAGTTGTGGGCCCAGAGGGCATACCAGACTTATGTTGTGGGCTCAGGGGTAATCCAGTTTGTTAGTTGTGGACCCATTACATGTTGTTATTATATTTGTGATGTTTCTATGTGTTGGTATTTTGGGGGGAACTCACTAAGCTTTGGGCTTACGGTTTTGGATTATGTTCCAGGTACCTCAGAGGATCGCGGAAAGGCAAAGGCGTGATCGTGCACATCCTCATGTTTTGTTTCATGATTTAGGGATTACTCTGATGTTTAAACTCGTTTTGAAAACTACAATGTAAACAATTATGATTTTTGGTTGGTTGAAAATGTTTAAATTTTCATGAATTTTTATGAGTGTTACAAAAGAGATCTTGGGCGGGTCTCTGGAATAGGATTATTCGTATGTTGGGTCAGGTGAGGGACCATGGGTTGGACTTTCATCCTTTATGCCCGATAGAGGTGGGGATGGGAGATATATGTCTTTTTGACATGATGTATGGTCGTGGGACATGACCTTTGTAGTTTCGTTTCATAAGATTTGATGCTCTGGATATGCAAAGACAGGAGTCAATCAGAGATTGGATGAGGATTAGATAGGAGATGGGGTCTATCATACATACTTCTAAGGGTGATGTTGAGCAGACATAGTGGGATGGTTTTATCTCTTTGATGATGGATGTGCACTTGGAGTCCAAGCCGGATAGGCTGGGATGGCTCCTTAACATCACCGACAATTTTTCTATTTCCTTTGCTCGTTCTTTTATGGATAATGGGATGCTTTTTACGGGAGGAATGGAGACTCAATGGAACAATTGGGTTCCTATCAAGTTAAACATTCTTCTTTGGAGATTGCAATTACAAAGTATTCCTACTAGAGAGAGACTTTCGTATAGGGGCATTATTGTGGAGTTGATCATGTGTCTTGTTTGTTCTCATTCAGCAGAGACGATAGAGCATATATCCGCAGGTTGTTTGGAGCTTATAGATTTGTGGAGGCATATTGCGATTTAGTGGGGTGTTCAAATTCCTGATCCAGTTACCATTCAGTCTTCAGTCTCCTGGTCAGATACAATTAGGTTGTCGGGAGGCCAATGTAAGGCTTTTGATGTTGTGGTGATGACTACTTTTTGGTGTTTATGCAATGTTCACAATCCCATTCTATTTTGGACGGCTTTACCTAGGAAATCCTTGATTTTTTTATGATGTGGTAGATAGAGCGTATTTTTGGATTTCTAATAGGTATAGTAAATCTAAGTTAAGTTGGGTTCTTTTGTGACAAAATTCTGCCTCAACTTCTAGTTCTTTGTAGTGGGTTGTTTCTAGTGTCTTACTAGTTTCTTAATAAAATTTTGTCATTCCAAAAAACAAATTGTATGAAAAATAGAAAAAAAAAACGTTTTAACTTTTTGTAAAAATTAAGTTTAAAAACTTTATTAAAACAAAAAAAAATTCTAAACATTTTAAACTGATAACATCTAGAAATTCTTTCGTTTAAAAAGTTATATAAAAGTTACTATATGATAAATAAAAGTTTTAAAAAATTATAAAACAAGTTAAAAAAAATTTAAGGAACGATTTCTAAACGTTTTAAACTTGTAACATTTATAAATACTTTTATTTAAAAAAAAAGTTCTATGACAATTTTTTTTTAAAATTGTAAAAAAAAAGGTTATAAAAGGTTGTAAAAATACTGTAAAAGATATTGTAAAAAAAATTGTAAAAATGTTTATAAAAATCTTAAAAATAGTTGGAAATTTTTCTAAAGAGTTGTGAAAAAATAAATTTGTAAAAAACATAAATTTATGTTGAATTCGTAAAATAAAATGTTTTGACAATGTTCGTATGAAAATTTAAAGTTTAAACAAATTTCATAACAAAATTTAAAATTGGCACGGGTGAGAAAACAAAATTTCATAATTTGTTATCTTTTTGTAATATTTTTTGATTCGTTGGCATGTGAAAACATTTTATAATAGTTTTTCTTAAAAGAAATTCTCAAGTCCTTTTGAGTAAAATGGTAAAATTATTGGTGCAATGTATAGAAAAAATAAGTTCAACGTACCTTTTGAACAAATTAAAAATAATAATAATAAATAATAATAATAATAAATAAATAAATATGGATAGATTTTATATGAAAATAAAGTAATAGTAAAATATATATATATAAAATAAAGTTACCCTTTTAATTTATTATTTTTTCTCTTATTTGTGAAGATTGTAGTCATAGTGGGCATATGGACACATGTTGACATGATTGTGCAACATTATCACTGAAACCTGTGTACTTCACATTTGGTATCACATGGGCATCTTGCTTTTTATATTTTGTACTAAGAAAATAATCGATGTGCACAATAAATAAATAGGAATAAATATTAATTTCGTAATAATAAAGGGATTGTAAATGACTAAATGACAAAATGTAAAACTAAAGTATAGTCTATAAAGATATTTGACCATTGTTAATAAGTCATTTTGTGCATAATAAACTCTTTTTCTTACTACTAAGTGTTCTTTTGTCTAAAAGTCATTTTAAGCATAATCCGAAACATCCTCTAAATATCAAAATTATCAGTGATACTAAATGATGTGGAATTTTATACACCCAAAGTTGTTTTTTATTACGAATCGTGTGATAAATAGAAAAATTATTGAGACGGTAGCCTATTACTACAAGTAAAATTAACAAGGAAATTATAAATAAACGCAAAATTTACTATTTCACAAATTTAACTCAAGTTTATTTCTGATATTATTTCTAATTATTTTAGAATATTATCATTTACATTACAATCTAATACAATTCATTTATATTGGTTTATTTAATGATAGAGGCGACAAAATGAACAACGTGACATCCATAAGAAATAAACAGGTTTGGATAAAAGATTTCAATCTGTTTAATTAAACAAGTTGATACGGTATGACACAAAAACTAAATAGGTCAGGTTATGATTGAAAATATCAACTTGAAAATAATGTGTTTATTTACATACAACAGTTTTTAACCTTTAAGAGATATTGGACAAACCCAAAACCAAAATCAAATATAAAAGAAAAACTTTGGATTGAATCGTTTTGTAATATGTTTAGTCGACCATGTTAAGACTTTATTTTCAAGTTTTTTTTACATACTCCACAATCTCAGTTAGTCGCTCTCTCCTCCTAATGATCTCATCTATCTGTCTTCCCAACCCATATTTTGTCCACTTTTTCTTCTTCTTTCCGCATCTCCACTCCTATTCTTTCTTGTTTTTCACTTTTTCCATTTCGCCTCATCAACTACTACTTTTTCAACATCTACTTTTTCAACATGTTACATGTTTGAACCTAATAAGAAACAACACATTTACAAGATCTAAATTCCAACCCACTAAACTGACACAAACTCAACATGAAAACGAATTGAACAACATGTCATGATAATTAAACGATTCGAATAGGGTCAAACTCTTTCGACATGTTTAATATTTCAACTCGACACGACATGTTTGTCAGATCTACATGATCTTCAAGATTATCTGTAAATGATATATAGTTACTTTATTGCAATTCAAATGTTGCTTTTTGCCCTTCAACTCCAACTATTCATTTGTCGAGTTAAGTTGATTAAAATTAAACGAAAACATGAAATCATAAATTCATCTTTTTGTTAAAATAAGCATCAGAAAAACCCAACCATAATCAATATGGCCTAATGACAATCAACTGGTATGAAACTCTTTAAAATTGAGTTGACTTATATTCGAATCCTACATGTTTCAAGCTTAAAAAGTGATCAAAAAAAGACAACCGAAAACCCATAAACATGCCTCCAAGTGTTGGTTCCAGGTTGGATGCTTAAACCCTTTATTACTCCCCTAGCCACTTACGTACCAAAAAAGCAAAAGCATATCTTGGTGGGACAAAACATGAGTGCATTGTGCCCCCTACCAAAGATCTCATACCAATTTTGGACTTATTGTTCTCTATTATAACATCTGTTCAGACTTCAGACCCTCCATTTTTCATGATCAAATTTCTGCATAGGAAGGAGAAGGAGTTGTACTCTAAGCTTAATTATATGTACCCTGGAAGCATCATCAGACTCCAACAAAAGGAAACCAGAACAAGAAAGCAATAACAGATTACAGATCAAGTAACAAAATCAAAATCAGCAAAAGGAGTTCTATATCTATTTCATCAACCAAGGTCAAGGAAAGATCAACGGTATCAAAAGCAAGTCCATGATTAACATGTATGGGACTAATCATAGAGGAATACCAATTAAGAGTAAACTTGGCTTGATGATCATGGCACAATATTGCTCAAGTTAAAGAATTTGAACCCAGGTAAACCTTACAATAATCATCTTTTGATGTTTTTGTTTCCTGTTTTTGGCATTTACCAAGATCCAAACTAAAGTTTTGGTCTTTGTTCAATTGATATATGTGTAATTCTTGAAAGGTTAACTGCAAAAAATAGCAATATAATTTCATTTATTTGTTGATTATAACATTCTATTTTCATCTTTTTTTATTACAACATTGTATTTTCAAAAATATACCAAATTATAACAGTGTCATCCAAATACAAAGCAATTTTGACTATTATAATTGGGTAAAATTTTCAAAATACAACGCCTTTATAAGAAAAAAAAACTTGTAAGACGCTATAATAAACAAATGAACAAAAATACATAGCTATTTCATTCGTTTAGCTCATTCTTTAATTATGGGTTGTTGTGTACCTAATTCACATTGCACTTGTGGACATTGGGTTTTATGTCAATCGCCTAGCAGGCAATTATTGTGTACCTGAATACAGTGTGGGCCAGCTCAAAGGTTGCTGGAAAATAACTTTCTTTATGCACAAACTAGTGAAAAAGATGGATAAAAAAAATCAAACGCATTGACCACAAAATCAAAACAATCAAATTCCACAAAGGCTACGAAGCAATTCAAGAATCACAACTTCAACTTTTTATACCCCCCACAATGATTTACTGGAGTCTCAACCCTAAGAAAGACTCACAAGTCATGGCTCCAAACTTCCTTGTTTAAACTAGTGCAAATTAGTAAAACATTTCAATAAAACAATTTTACCCAATAATTGGTGGTATTATATCAATCAATCAATCAATCAAATCATTCTTTGATTTGAGTTTGAGTTCTTCCTTTCTTTGATTTGTTCTTCTCCTGCATTTTCTTCTTCTTGGCTTCTGCACTGATCCATGTGTAGTCAGCAGGAATAGCAAAAGGGTCTTGAGTAGTTTCGATTCTGCTGCTTGAAGCACCAGATGATGAGCTGGCACGGTGGTATGGAGTTTTGATCCACTGGAACCAAGATGATGATGACGTGGAGGATTGATTGGCCATTGATGGGCTGTCACGATCGCCACTTGTCGGACTTGTAGGTGGGGTCGTGAATTCATCCAACGGTTGTAGTTCTTCAAATTTTGTGAAAGTAACTAAAACCCTTATGGTGGGGATCACTGGAATTGCTACCTGAAAACAACCACAATAACAACTTTAAATGAAAAATATGAATCCTTTATAACATGAAGATGTCCATCTAACATTTCAATATATCTTATTTCTAGTATCACCAGGCATTATGTTTATAAATCAGATTTAACCACAATTTAGGGCGTGTTTGGATGGATGTACTCTGAGTGATAAAGGGTTAATTGCTTATTGTGCAATAACATTTCCCCTTTTCCCAATTTATACAACAATGTTTATTTCATACAAAATATGCAACCACCTTTCCAATATGGCCACTTCTTACATATAACCGATTAACCAATTACAAGCTAAAAGGTTATAAAAATTGCTCCTAGTACGAAATGCCAATGCATATTTTGCATAATAATGAACATTATTGCATAATATGGTAAAAAAAAAAAAACATAAAACTTCATTGCATAAATAAGTAACTAACCCATAGATAACATAAAAAGTAATTTTAGTCTCTATCCTTTTAACAATTCGTTTTGTTGCACATGCAGGGTTGCAGCTACTATGAAACTGATACTAAAAACCGTTCATTACCCTTCAGATAACCACATCCAAACACCAATCACAAGTCTCACAAACTTTAATAAAAAAATAATGAAAAAATTAAAAAGTACCTTAACAGGAAAAGTCCCCATTGGAAGTTTTGTAGTAAGCAAATCTCTCAATCTCCTTATCGCCTTAACTTTATTCGCTAAAATATCAAGCAAAGGCAAAAGCTCCTCAGTTCTCAAAGGAAAATTAGGAGCAAGCCAAAGAATCGGCCTCAACCCTTTTTTATACTCATTCTCACGACTTCCATCTTTCCTTCTATTTCCACCTGTTGACCCATTTGAAGAAGATGCCTTCAATTCCTTCACTTTCCTACTTTCATTTTCTTTCACAGTCACCTCCATTGAATGCCTCCCCGGTTGAATTTGACCTTGACCTTGACCTTGACTTTGACTTTGACTAGGGGGTGAGTCACCAAGAAGATCACTAACCTTTTCCTCTAAACATAACGACCCACGAGGCGGTGCCACACCCTTTCGACCACCCCGGTCAACTTTATTCCCGCCTTTCCTCCACCCATCGAACCACCCTTTTTTATCTTTTTCAACTTTAATCTCACCATTTTTGTAACTCGGTATATCTTCAATTGGAATATCGCGTTGTTCAAAACAACTATGTCGATGCCCAATCACGTTTTCGTTATTTTCGTGGCCAAATTCGGAAGAATCAAACTTTAGTGCCGCCTCGAGTTGTTTCCGCTCTTCATCTGTTAAAAGCTCGTTAAGTTCCTCGCTTTCCGTTTCGTTTTCATTACACGATGAAAAAAACTCATCGTCTGACATGGCGCCCGGGACCCGCCTAGACTTTATACTCACAACCACATTATGCATATCATACACTTTACATTTCCAACTCCCAACCGATTCGGTTTTCTCCTGTCTGCGCCACGTCATCTGAGGTAAAAGAACCGCTTGTGTCACATCAATCCCCGGGCGGAATATATTTGTCTGAGACATGGCTTGGACTTCCTGTTGCACCTCCGCGTCAGAAGCCGGTGCACCTGCGCCATCTAAAGCGTTCATCACTTCTTTGTTTTTGTGTGAGATCATGCAGAGGGACCCGGGCGGGACTTTTCCATCTTCGGATCCGTCTCCCAGGAATAAAACGGTTTGATCCGCGCGTTGAATACGGAATCCGTCGAAACCGGCTAATGTCATATCTGCCCTTAGATTCGCGCCACGTTTCCAAATCTTGTAGGTATCGGAAGGGGCAATTCGGGAAATGAACGGGATGACTGAGCTTTCGAATTGGAAAGTGATTTCCATGTAGAAGTCACGCATTCGTCTCATTGTTCCTACTAAACGAGGTAATCTGCGACACCATTTAGCCCAGGCGATTGGTTGATAATGTCTGACTATGATTCTAGCGATTACTTCTTCTCTGTTGCATATAGCTTCTTGTAAAGCACTCCAGCCATGTTCGTTTTGTAAGCTCCAATCTGCTCCCGCAAGCATGAGCATTTCTGTGGAGGTGACGTCACCAAGTTTGACTGCTAGGTGAAGTGGGGTGTCGCGATTAGGGACATCCCGTCGGTCGATTACGGAAGAGATTGTATCGGCTTTGGCTTCCTCGGTTAAAGAGATTGATTCGTTGTGGATCTCCGATGGGTCACAGAGGCGTGGTAGTCCGGCGATGATTTTTCTCAGACCACCGTAATCTTTTGTTACTACGGCTTTGTGTGTCGGACTATGGGAATATTTCGTAACGTCGATGGTTGCCATCGTTAAAATTTTGAACCCAATGAAACCCTAATGAAACATCCGAATAAGGAAAAAACGGAAGGCGGAAACTATAGGGTTTCCTTCGAATCTCAGCGATACGGATTACAGTTTCAGTCTGGCAGCCATCGTTAACATTCACTGAAATCAACTAAATTGAACAAAAAAACAGCTGTATTCGCATCAAGTTGTTACAATGGAATAAATGTAAATTACAAGGGTTTCACGAATGAAAAAATCTGACCTTCTTATAATTTATTCTGGGTCGTTTGAGTAGGCGGCAGACGAAGATTGATGAGAAAAAGGACTTGGCTACTGAACTCCCACCACCAATACAAATATAATACTAACAGACCCTTGCGATCCAATCCAGATCAGACAAACCCCAAAACATGTGGGGAGGTGGGGTTTGAAAAATATTTAAAAAATCACCAGAAATAGGGAAATCTTCAAGGGTTTTGGGAATCTAAAGACGGAAATTGAAAAGGTCACGAAGAGAATCAGACGCTATAAAACCCAAACCCCACCATTCAAGCAAAGAGGAGGAAACCGTATGTGTGGAAAAAGAATAATAAAACTAAAGGAAAGTATCAAATAATTAAGATTGGGACTTTATCAGGCATTTTCTTTTCATGGAGAGAAGGAAAGGGAGTAAAGTCTAGGGACAATTTTACAGATTCATAAAAGGTTGAAGAAGAAGAAGAAAGAAGAAGAAGAGGACGACGATGATAAGGGTAAATTTTTTGGGTCAGCTTTAAGTTGGGGGAAGGGGCAAAGGTCCCGTTCTTTTTTTACTTTTAATTCAACAGATAAGAACACGGAAGGAGTATCGTAGTGAGAGAAGGAGAGCGCGTTTTAAATATAGTACCCTATTTAAATGGGGAGTTTACGTTATAAAATAACAAACTCTTAATTTCGGCACTCAACTTTCATTCTTTCAACAATTGTACCACTAATTCTAATGAAATTTAAGCATGCCATCGTACCTAATTTTTGGTCTAATATTAATTTTTTTAGGATTTATTACATCAAAGATCTTATTTACGGTTTAAACCTGAACTTTCGACTATTTTAAATGGACAGTGATTTGCACACAACATTTTTTTAATTATACACAATAATTTATACTTTAGATGATTACAGTACAATTACCTAAAACATAAATTGTTGTGTATAGCTAAAAAGTGTTGTGTACAAATCATCGCTCATTTTAATTGGTTTGTAGGTATTCAATGATAAACTGTGTGACATCTCAATAAAAGAAAAGATAAAATCAACGTTGATATTATATAAATCTTCAACGCAGTGGCAGCTCAACCTTATATTTTGTTAAGTTATGGCTTAGGGCCTCCAATTTTTACCCCATGTAACGTCCTATTTTCACAACCAAAAATTTTCATTTTAAATAAGGTAAAACTTCTTAATTATAAATTCATTATTAAGAAAAACCGTTTATTTCCAAATACATTTATCGAAAACCAGAGTAATATAAGAAACGTGGAATCCTTTAATGTTGTTGATGAGTGTATACAATCCCGCATTCACCTTCCTACGATCACCGATAGAACCTGAAACATAAACAATTGGATATACACAAAACTTAGTGAATTTCCCCCAAAATACCACATACAACAAACATACCAGCATGCATAATGGGCCCACAATCATCGGATTGGAATATCCTAGTTCAATCAGTCATCGGACTGGAATGCCAACATGCAATGGGTCCAATCAATCACCGGACTGGAATACCCAAGGTTTGTTGGCCTGCCGCCTCAATAAACCGCTCTTCCCGAGTCTCCGTGCCTATGGCTTGCAGTCGGCCCGCACCAGGTATCTTGGCCTACAGCACACAACAGGACCGCCTCAACCTCAACCACTACCATATGTCGACATATAAACAAACAATTATCAAGTAGGCACATAATACATGCAAATATCAATCATACAATTCGTTACCGCCTACTAGATCTCTCACATCACACTGCTCCCCTACCAGCTAACCATCATGGAATGCATAACCATAAGTAACCAGAGGTGAGATAGCCACCCGAACAGATGATCCTACTCTAGAGCCACAACCAAAAAAGGAATAGG